CAGGGAAACTGAGGCCCAGGGAGAGGGAGTGACTGTCCCCGACTCCCCGCTTCTGGCACGGGCAAAGAGGCAGTGGGGAAGCTTGATGGGGAGATCTGCCGAAGACCTTTCCCTTGCCCGTTCAGTTGACACGGTCCGTCTGCTCCCACCTGTGGGAAAATGATGTTTACGAAGTGCTCCTTGGTGTATTTGCCCGTTGGGTCTGCACCTGTTTACAGAACTGTCCTCCCTGAAGCAAATGCAATGAACCTAAGTATCTATTATGCATTTTTGGGCTAAGAATATGTTCTTATTCTGTTTGGAGATATTCTGAAATGGTTGTTTATTTAATTATAGGTTTGCTCCATTTTCCATTTATGGGCCTGGCAAATATATTAAAAAATGTTAAGCCTATAATAATATTTACTAGCAGGCTTTAATTTTAAGCTTAACCCACTGGAGCTATTTTTCCTTTTACATTTTTATTCTTCTTAAACAACATGGTTCCTTTGAATTCCCAAAAATAAAGATCAAGGGGCCCAAGTTATGCTTTTGAAAAAACTTTCTTGCTCAGGAAGGTAGGAGAAACAGGCATTGGGTCAGGGTGATACAGGGATGATACTGGACCTCCAAATAATCCAAATAATATAAGGGAACTATTACAACTCCCAACCTGTAGTTGCTTAAGTAACATTGATCCAATGGAGAATCACAAGGTGGGGGTGTGAGGTGAGACAAAACTATGGTCAACCAATAAGAGTATGAGCGTAGTTGCTTAGATAATACTGATTAAATGAACCTGCTTCTCAAGGGCGTGTTATGGAGTAAAACCAGGTGAGGTGGGTGTAAGGTGGAAAAAATTACAGTTAACTGATAAGTTTACAAGTACAGCTGGCGTGGTGGCGCATGCCTGTAATCCCAGAACTCGGGAGGCTGAGGCAGGAGGATTGTTGCGAGGCCAGCCTGGACTACAAAGGGAGCTCAAGGCCAGTCTGAACTGCATAGCAAGACCCTGTCTCAAAAAGACAAAAAAAAAAAAAAACCCAAAAACAAAACCAAAAACAAGTACAGCTGCTTAAGGTAACATTGGTCCAATGGGAAATCACAAGGTGAGCGTGAGGTGGGAGAAAATTGTGGGCAACCAAAAAGAGTACAAGAACAGTTGCTTAAAAATACTGATTAAATGGGGATCACACGGGGAAGCAAGTCACATAGCAAGCGCACATGGAACGGACATGCAAGGACTTTCCTGGAAGGGCTGAGTTTCAGAGGTTTTAGTCCTCCCCCCAGGGTGATTGATGCCTGTTTAGAATATCAATCACTGCTGTTCCTCCCTAGGGGAAGTATGTGGGTGTAGTCCTTTCTCTGTCCTGAGGCCTGACCTTCAGGAATGCACCCTCCAGTCACAACTGTCTTCTGCACTGACCTCTGAGGGCCCAGCCCTGCCTATAATATTTATAGGCCCAGCCTATAATACTTCTACATAACTTAGCTGTCTATAATAAGGAGATCCTGGGCTAGAATTTTGATCCAGCACTTTCCAGCTCGATGAACTTGGCCAAGTAACTGCAGCACTCTGAACCTCACTTTTTCCATTTGTAAAATGGGAATAATATGCAGTTGTTGGGTTTGGGTGAGTATAGGAAATGAAAGGGTGGCCTTTGTATATTCTCTCAACAAGTATTACTGAGAATTTACCCTGTACTAGGTTCCGTGTAGATTTTGAGCAAAACAAAGTGGCAGGGCCCTGGCATCTAAGAGGAGGAAACAAGTGGGCTGTGGTTTTGATCAGCGGCAGAGCATTTACCTAGTATGTGTGAGGCTCTGGGTTCCACTCCCAGCACTGCAGAGGAAGGTAGGTAGGTAGATAGATAGATAGATAGATAGATAGATAGATAGATAGATAGATAGATAGAAAGTCTAGTGCGTGTGCTGAGTGCTTTCTAAGTACTGTGTCAATAAGCAAGTGAAATATCCCTGCTCTCACATGGATGAACCTTAAGAATGTGATGCTGAGTGCGGAAAAGCTAGGCCCAAAAGGCCTTATGACTCCATTATGTGAGATGCCCACAATAAGCAAGTCCCTGTGGATGGCAAGCAGACGAGTGGTGGCCGGGGACTCAGGCTCCGGCGGGGGAGTGAGGAGTCACTGCTTCCTGTGTGCAAGATTTGAGTTGGTGGAAATGTTTTGGAAGTAGATAAATGCATAG